TGGATGTGCTCCAGTGGCACAACAGACACTCATCCCTGCCACCCATCACTCCCCAAATTCTTCCACTTATTTTGCTGGCCATTACATTCGTCACAGTCACTAAATACTGTGCCATCCTCCAGTGGTATATCCTTACTAAAATTCACAGCTTCTAGTGACACAATGTCATGTCAGAGTTTGTAGCAGGACAGTGCCAGTGGCTTTCCTCTCCTGTCTGGATTCCTATCTTGCAGATTCACCAAGGATGTATTTATTGGTGCATAGCCCACGTGTTCTTCTTGTATAAAGCTGTAGTGAAACAGGGCTGCAGGTATTGTTTTGGTAGAGCCTGAAATTCAGGCCCAGTACTTGTTCACTGAATGCTTGGTTATATGTGAAGTTAAATATGTAACATTTAATGTTAATTTACTAGAAAACTGAAATTATCTATGTGTGGGAGAGAAAATTCTCTTCAGTTGCTGCAGCCATAGACATGCCTTTTTCTCAGTAAATAGTGTAATTCATTTGCAAAAGTCAAAGGATAATTGGCATTTGCGGAACTAGTTCTTGTGTTTATTAGTTCTTATATTAGCAAGGTGACTAGTGGTTTAGGGTCTTTATTTTGTTACTCTGTGATTTAAAAACCAGTTATACTAATTTCTATTTGTTTCTGCAGGAGGATACCTTTTTAATGCTAAAGACAAGTAGCAAAACCATACAGTGGAATGATATAAATCCAGTATTAGTTTATGCTGTTTCTCAGCAACATATTAGTTTATAGGTTGAAGTATATGAATTAGCAGTGGTATTGGTTTGGTTTTTGTTTTTGATCATAGCTTAGGAGACCTGTTGCAAGTTTACATAAAGAAGAACAAATATACCATTGAAATATGTTTTTTTCAAAACTAGGTTCTAATTAATACATTCAGGATTTGCAGTAACAAGCAAGTTTGAACTTCAGTACTGTCAACAAGTTGGGATCTGCTTTTTTTTTTTGTTTTCTTCAGAGGTGTGTGGAAAACCACCACTGGCTGTTGGTTTGAAAACTGTAGCTGATCTGTCATAGTCCTTTAACAATTCATCCATTCAGAGGCTCTTAAAAGGTGCTTATTGTTTTTCAAACTCACAAGAGACAGTATGAGTACTTACATTTTTCCTTGAAAGACCAAGAGCTTTTCAATCCAGAGCGAGAAATGTACAGAATCTGTATAAAGTAAGTGGAGAAAGTGCCTATTTTCTGACAGTAAATGTTTCTGCTGAAGTATTTGCACTGGATTATAATGAAGCTTTGGTTAAGCAGATTAAACAGACAAAAGCAGTGAAACTTCAAAGGCTGACCAAATGTGCTGAGGTTTTTATTTCCCCAGTCTGTAATGCCTGCTTTTGCCTTCCTCTCATTAGCACAGAAAAATAAGCCAGTAGAGCATAATGTGTTGTCCCTCTGTAGTGCCTGCAGCGACTGATTCCTAACGGGGTTCTGGGGGTGAGTATCGAAGGTTCTTTCCAACGTAGCAGTAGATAATAGACCTCCTATGAGAAGGGTTTTAAGAGCGACTGCCCAGCTGAGAGTTCAGCTGTTTGTAGAGTTCCTTTTAGATACCAAGATGCAAAATCTTCCTTCCAAACACAGATGCTAAGTCTGTGACTTAATCCAATGGTTAATTAACTATTTTTACGTGCTCAAAACAGCAAAAGAAACTGTGCTTTGGTAAACTACAAGGAATAAGGTAAAGCAATACTCACTGGCATGGTGTAACAATCCAAACTGATTTGATATTTCTAGGTTGCATTCTCCAGTATTCTCTACAGAACAGTTAAGTGTGCAGTATCTGTTATGTTTTTTATTGTGAAAAATGTTTCCTGCACTGTGGGATTGATTTGGGCTTTTGTGTTGCTTTGTCAAGGAGTTACCAGAGACCACACAGAAGCTGGAAGTTTTAATCAAGGGGGGAAAGTGAATATGTTTAGAATATATAAAATAATAAAACCAAATTAATTAAAATAGTAAATATGTGCAATTTTAGAAGTACAGAAATTATGTAAGCTCTGTAACAGGTTCCTGTTAAGCTCATTTTATAATGTTATAATTAATTAACTAATATGGTGTATAGGAGAAGTAACACTAGACATAGTTGTTAAACAGCAGTGAATTTGTACACTTTGTACATTTGTATGTTTTTGTTTAATTTTGAAAAATTACTAATATTAAAATCAAATGGTCTATTTTTGGATCTCTGAATATTTTGAACTGCCTGAATATCTGTGAAGTAGGAAAATCTCATTCTGAGCAGGTAAATGGCATTTCCTTGATTTAATCACCCACCTCCACATACCACAGAGCCTCATGGATCTTGCTGTGGGGGATTGTTAATCTGGATTTTTCTAGAACTGTTCTCTGATGCTACAGAACAAAAGCATTTTCTAAGCTCCACTTCAAATAATGCTATTGCTAAAGTTTGTCATGTTGTAAAAGCCTTGCCAGAAGCTGTATGAAAATGATAATTTTGTTAATAATTTTGGAAGAAAGGCTTTTCAGTTTCAATTGAAAAAGGGATCTGTGGAGTCAAGACAGAAAAGCTGACCAAGTCCCACAGCCTTGCGATATAAAATTTAATACTCTTTCCTTCTTATTTTGCTACATCACCAAGCCCTTTATGCTAAATCCCTGGGATAGATGCCTTGTCATTCAGAAAGCAAGTAAAGTTGTAAGCTACAGGAAGTTTTGTCTATGAGTTATTTCTTGCTCACTGTTGTCCTGTGAGGTCCCAAACAACTCCATCTGAAATGACATGAGATGGTTCTGCCTTGGTAAATCAGGAAGATGGGAGTGGAGAGCAGAACTGCAGGATCTCCCAGGCCACTGACTGCCCAGACTGGCTCACAGAGGCACCTGAGAGAGGTGAATTGTGTACCTGAGCAATTATGGACACCTTTTAAACAAAGTAGAACCTTGGTTTGGCAACTTCCTTGCAGTTACTTGTGAAGAGGGAACTTCAAGTAGTCCCCTATGATTTTAGACATAGTGGAGTAAATGAAGAAGCCAGATGGGAAGTAACAAGTCAACAGACAAAGGAGCTTCAGGGACAGCTCTTGCCTTGCATGAGAAAGAAAGGTAAACTATGAAATCCTCTGTTCATCATGCTGGAGCCTGTGCAGCACTCAAGGAGTGTGGCTGGTCTCGAAGCTGCTGGCAGGCATCTGCAGCTGACTTTCTCTAGTCATACTCTACAAAGTTTTAGTTCTTTCTCTAGGAAAAGTCCCTTTTTTTTTTTTTAGTCCACCTGAAAGTTCTTGTGCCATTTTTAGCTTCTGTGTCTGCAAAAGTTTAATTTCACTTCCACAGCACAAACTAAAGCAAAAGGTACAACATTTGCTTGCAACTTGAAAAGACAGTTTCATAATTTAAACTCAGAAGATTTTTATCCACAAGGCGAAGGTATAGGTGCCATCAAATTGTGAGTGGTTTTTAACATTTTTCATTTCTTTAAAGTTAAAAGGCTTTGAATTCACTTTTTTAAATTAGTTTGCAAGCAATATAATAGGCCAACACAAATTGAAGGTTGTTTTCTTTTTCCTGTTTCACAGATACCCAAAGAGTTTGTGCTTTTATGTCACATGGTCTTTCAGTTTAAAAATGCCTCCTTCCAAGCCACATCACATTCAGAGTAAGATACCTTAGAAAAGACTGGAACTTGATTTACAGTAGGAAAAAATTACCTGAGAAGATAGTTATGAAGGGAAAGTTACTGAGGAGCACTTTCTGCTTACAAAGAATGATACTAAAGCATTGTTTGGAGTAAATACTATTATCTGTTTATTTCACAATTTATGCTGATTTTCTGTGCTACGTTGAGTCCATTTACTGTTTACTGCAGTAGGAAGGAGCAGGTACATTTTTTGGTAGACCTTGAAACTTCAAGAGCAGCATATTTCTATAGGACGGTTTTTACACACATTTGAGGTTTGAATTTTATCCAAGTCGTAGAAATTCACTTCATGAGTAGATCTATTTGGTGTTTAAAACTGATATAATGAATTTAGTAGCTGAAAATGAATGTTGCTGTATCTGCCACAGAGAAATATATCAGTACATTTTTTCCCCTTTCTCTCTTTTAAGGGTCAGAAGGCTTGGATAGAGAAGACCTTTTCTAAAAGAGAATGCATCTATATAATTGCCAACAACAAAGATGTTACCAGGTAACATTAGAAATTTTTGTTTCAACAAAATACTTAATACCAGAGAAACTGAACTTGGTTTGGGTTTACATGTGTAAAACCCAATTTAGTCACTGCTCATAAAGGGAAATGACAGGGGAACAAAAGCATAAGTCATGCTTGCACTCTAATCTGCACAGAGCCATGGGACATGTCACACAGAGCTGAGAAGGCTGAGAGCAGTGAGTTGTTAACTCCTGCCTTTGCAAACCATGATAGATTCATACTGAAGTCTGAAAGTGAGGGTGCAGTATCATCCTTAATGATACTGATGAGGGTGCATACCATCCTTAACAGTTGGTATGATATTACCAATGACAATAGCAGTCAGGGGGATTTGATTTCTTAGTCAAAATATTAATATTACTCCATGGGCTAGCTGCATATTGTGGTCCAGCTTGTGTGGATAGCAGAGCAGTTAATGTCACATGCAGGCTGTCACCTCTAAGTAAGAAACACCTCTAAGTGCTCCTGTTCTGCATTTTTTCTCCTTGCCTGGCTTTTTACCTAGAACAGCTTTCCACACAAGGGAAGTGAATTTTTTTATCTTTGCATGTTAAAAACCTAAGCCTGTTAGTTCTGGCATATATGTGCATGTGAGAGGTGTTTCTCTTACTCATCTTGGGCAGTTGAAAATCTAATTTCTGATTTTTTTTTTTTAATTTTGAAGATATTATAATCAACATCACTTCAAATTTTAACCTCCAGGTGCTGCTGTGGCCAGCTCATTAACCAACATATTCCACCTCCTCCAAGTATAACAGCTAATAAAAATGAAGAAGAAACGAAGCAAGTGGAAGCTCAGCCAGAGAAATGGTCTGTCAGTAAACACACCCAAGCATACCCAACAGATGCCTATGGAAACCTGGAATTCCAGGGAGGAGGACATTCAAATAAGGCCATGGTAAGGGGCATAGGGTACTCTAAGGTGTCCATCTGGTGTTCAACAGACTCTTGAGTTTTCTTAGCAGTAAAAGTAACAGCAGTTCAAACTTCTGTAAAAATTCTATTTGTTTTTCCTCTCTTCTGAAGAAATCCAAACTTGGATTTGTTTCTTTGTTTGAAAACTTTAAAATTTTCTCTTCAGGATGAAAGGCAAACAGTAACTATTCTTTGCTCAGACAATTTTTCAGAACAGGTTGAGTGACAGCATTGCATATTGCTCTTTGCAGTACATCCGTGTGTCATATGACACTAAACCAGATTCTCTGCTGCATCTCATGGTGAAAGACTGGCAACTGGAACTGCCCAAGCTCTTAATCTCTGTCCATGGAGGCCTCCAGAACTTCGAAATGCAACCAAAATTAAAGCAAGTGTTTGGAAAAGGGCTGATAAAGGCTGCCATGACCACAGGAGCTTGGATTTTCACTGGTGGTGTTAGTACAGGTAAGTAATTGCCATAATTTTAGTTTACTTAAGTATTCAGTGATGTTCATTCACTAATCTTTCCCACAGGCAGAAGATTTAAGTCTACATGAACAAGTCATTACCCACTACACCAAAAAAAGGAGCATTGTAATCATTGTGTTAATCTCCTACCCAGCCCAGACCATAAAATTTTCCTGGGTCAGTATTGATTTGCATTACTCGGTGTTTCCCCTGAAAACAAATTTTAGCCTTGGTTTCAGTAGCAAGGAATCTACCACTAGTTCTAATACTTTTCTTTTAGTTCTTGGTTAACCTTGTAGTTAAGAAGTTTCCTACTCCAAATTTAGCTTTGCTGTGTTTTTTTTTTTTTTTTTTTTTTTTTACAAAGATATTTTTTTTTCTAAAAGTGTTTTTCTTGATGTCATGGTTTGAGTCCAATGAATAATATATGGCA